AAATATTCATTATATATATATATATATATATATATATATATATATATATATATATATATATATATATATATATATATATATATATATATATATATATATATATATGTATATATATAATGAACGTTGCATTCAATACTATTTGGAAATAAATATTCATTATATATATATATATATATATATATATATATATATATATATATATATATATATATATATATATAATGAATATTTATTTCCAAATAGTATTGAATGCAACGTTTTGCTAATTAAAGTTCAACGTTGAATCAACGTAAATACAACGTAAACCCTGGACCAACGTAAAAAATAAAACGTTGAATCAACGTAAAAAATATAACTATTTTCCGACTTTAATAAAACGTTTTATCAACATTGGTTTTTAGTCGTTAGTGACGTTGCATTTGTAACCATAATGATATAAAAACAACGTTGGCAGCCGATGTTGGGCGAACGAAACGCGCGACATTATTCTAATGTTTTAACAACGTATGTGTGCTAGCTGGGTCATGAGTATTAGTTTCAATATAAAAAGTGTCTGTTTTTATTTTTTTGTTGTTTTCAAGAACATTAGATATGTCTAATAAATTAATCACATTGTAAGTATTACTATCTTTTATAATTTTTTTGCTCTGGTCTGTTGTAAAACTGATTGAATTGTTTATTTCAATTAAATAATTTACAAACTTTACAACATCCATTTAATACTGTTTTGTTACGATATCCTTACGATATTGTTTTAAGCAGATTATGAAACCGTCATTAATATATCTATAACTAAACTGTTTTATATCGCTAATTTTTTGATTGGAAAAGCATATAGGCAAGATTTAAGGAAAAAGTCTTGTTTCTTCTAAAAATCCTTTTGCAAAACATATGTAGTCTGGAGCAAAAAGTGTACCTATTGTTGTTCTTTTAATTTAGTGATTACAAACATTTTGTTATTAAACAGAAAAATATTGTTTTCTAAAATAAAAGATGCTGATTCTAATATAAATTCTTGAGTAAACCTTTCTTTATTATAATTTTATGTTTTTTAATCCAGGTTTTTAAAGCTTCTAATTTGTGTGGAATAATAGCATAAAGATTGAAAATGTCATATGTCAAAATACAACTTTCTCTCTCTAAATCTCTTATATATCTTAAATACAACTTTCTCTCTCTAAATCTCTTTCTCGAAAAATCTCAATCATCATAAAGTTTTTTGTTTTATAACAATAGGAAATAAAATTATGTGTAAGAATTGACTTAGGGTGATGTTGGCAAGTTATTTCCTGCAATAATTGGTCTACTCTTAGGGTCTTCTAGAGATTTCATTTATATATACAGAAAGTTTGTTTTGTAAACTTTATCAATAATTTCACGACATTTATGAAATTTTGGAGTTATAGAAAGATTGCTAGACTTCCATTTTAATTTGTGAAGTAATTTGTTTTATTTTTTTGTTTCAAAAATTATATTAACTAATCATTTTAGTAAGTTCTAAAAAGATAATTTTATCCAATGCAAAATTTGCTTTTTCATAAGTGTTTAAAGAGAGCAGATGGTCTTTTTAAACTAGTTTGTTGTTATAACAAGAAAAGTCCATTCCGGTTAAAGTATTATTTTTGTCTGTCTTATTAATAGCTGCATCTTTCATTTCCTTTAGTTGTTTTAAAGCTCGCCTTTCTTGATGAATTATGATATCCACTAATTGTGCATTGATTGGTTTAACTTGTTCAATTTTTGGAATAGCTTCTTTTAAAATTGATTGAGTTTCAATACTTTAGTTTAATAGCTTTTTTAAGTTATGCATAATTATCAGTATTATATGTTCCGTGTAATCTTTCTATTAGTATTAGTTTACTTGTGAACTGCTTTATATAGGAGTCAAATGTGTAAAAAAAGTTCTTTGGTTAAAGCGCAAAACTTAGGACCTACTACAAGAAAGGATATTTGAAATGTTGTCAGATGTTTGGTGGAAAAGTTGGTAATAAAAGTTGATGTATTTGGTTGTCAGATGTTTGGTGGAAAGGTTGATGATGAACATTGATGTATATATTTTGAGTTGGGTTAAGCCAGTTTTTTTAAGCTATCGCATTTGATGTTTGTTTATGGTCAGGACCGATATTAGTTGATCCAATAAAATAAAAAAAGTTAAAGTAATTGGTAATACCATCTTGATGGTATTTTATTGAACATTTTGAATTTTGATTCTTTGTTATTGTTTCGCAGTGGAAGCTATTAAAGTTCCATCACTTATATGGAACCATCAGGCCGTAATAGTCTTAAGAGAAGCAAGAAATATTTTATATAAGTGCAAGTAAGTGCAAGATAAATTATAATATTTGGACAGATGTCCAGAATTAAGAGTTGTTGTTTAAAAGAAGAGTACTATTCAGTAATTAAGTTTGAGTTAAGTAAGTGTTGTTCATGTTAGATTTAAGTACGTGTTGTTGCAGTGTTCTGTAAGCTATTGTATTTTGTGTTTGTATTGTTCTAAACGTTAAAGTTTTATGTGTCATTTAATGTTTTTATTGCTTTGAATCTGTGTGTTCGTAAATAATGGTTCTTAGTCTCGCTTAGTCCAGTCTTATTATGTTCTCTTTACATATCAGGTTCGCAACTAGAATAAGTGAGTATAGCCACTAGTGGAACATATTTAGACGTAAATGCCTTAGACGCATGCAAACGTGCAAAAATACCTTAAAAGCATGCAACCTTATAATAAAAATATTCGTTTTAAATTTAGTTTATATATTCAAAAATCGACAAACACAATAATTCTGTTTATTTACATGCAACCCGAATACCTTCAGCCACAGATAAAAACAAAAGAACATCTAAGTAAACCTATATGAAACTATCAGATAAATATTCAAAAACATATTACAAAAATCAAAACAATTATTAACAATTGCCATCGTTGTGGTAAGCATAATGTGATACACAATTAACCTAATATAACACAATTAATCAATTCTTCAGATAAAAAATGTTGCAACATAAGAAGGCTTTGACGCAGACGTAGAGGTGGGTTTATCATTTTCTGCTTTAAAATAGGAAAATATTATTTTGATCACAAAATAGCACTCATAATTCTTTGAAAAGCCTAAAGTGCTAATAATTATTAAACTTAAATTTAGTGTACCTTCATTTACATTACTTAATAGTTACAATAAAATGTATTGTCCTGTGATCTTAGTGTTATTGTTTATCTTCCTTTAATTTATAAAGATTCAAATAGTCACATGCTTGGCCTGAGCATTTAAATTCGTAAGAATTCACTTTTTTGCCAAAAAACTAGTTTTAAGTTCGTTTAGCGCCCCCTCACTGTATTGCCTTTCTCTTTGTTTTATATAACTTTGCCTCATCTCAAGACTATACTCTTTTTAAGGTTATTTCTTATTAAATTGACCTAGCCCTATCTTTTTATTCATAAGTCAATATTGTTATTGTTGGTGACTTTAATTCTCATTACACTGAAAGACTTAGTTCTAGTGTCAGTGAATCTGCTAGCATTAAGGCCCTTAACTTTTGCCTTTCTCAATCCTTAACTCTAACAGTCAAATTTCCGAATCGCTTTCCAGACAACCCGAATCATTTACTTTCTCTACTCGACCTATGTCTTGTTTTTGATTCTAGTCAGTGCTCAATTTCTTCACATTCACCCTTAGGTGCTTCTGATCACTGATTCATCGTATTTTTCTTTATCATCAAAAAGAGGTACGATAATAGCATTGTACCTCTTACAACTACCTTAAGGCTGACTGGGACTTTTTCCGGTAATGCTAAAGTAGAAATCTTTTGTCTTCCTGCTGACAAATATGCTTCTAACAAAACTTCGTGGTTTCAGGCTGGCATGTAATCTTTAATTTCCTCTTGACCATTTCAGGACAAACCTTACTTTTCTCCATGGTTTTCCTCACATTTTGCTTAGGCAATTTCCATTCGAAACCGTTACCTCTATATCTATCAACAAAACAATTCTCCAGAAAACAGACGTCTGCTTACTATTGCTAGAAACCGTTGCAACTTATATTATTACATACAACTTATATTTTAATACTTTTTATAGATAAGACATGGTTAGCTTTGCTGCCTAACTTTGATTGGTTACTTTTAAAATATTGTTCCTGATTTCCACGGATGCCATATCAAAAAGGATCTGTTTCCTTGTGAGCATCATTCAGTTTAATTTGCTCAGTTCTGAATTTAAAATATGAGTATAAAAAATTTTGATGAATCTATTATTTTGTTTCGCAGATTGGAATCAGCAAAGTAAACCAACAATATCAGAAATTGTCAGAAATGTCAGGCTTGTCAGAACCTTTTACTTCTTAATCGTCTCACATTCTTGAAACTTGTGACTTGAACTCCAATTTCTGTAAATTCAAAGACTGCCGCTTTATTTTTAGCTACTTTATCATCTAAAAAAACTTTATTGGATTCTGACACTCCTCATTTTAGCCATCATTATACAATTATTAACTACTTTACCTAACTTTATCAGTTGCAAGCTAATACTTTTTTTTTGTATTCCTCTGTATTATTTACTCAATCAGAAAGTGATTTGTTGCCAATCTTTTAATTTAAATTTGATCAAAAAGTGATTTGTCAAAAGTAATTGGCATCCTACCGATCTTTCTTATAGGCGAAACCTTTCAAAACACTTTGAAAACATTGGTAGAAAAAGATTGTCAAATTTGCAAGGTTATGTACTGTAATGAATTAAAAAAGATTTAATAGTTTTTGATAATAGTTTTTTTTTGGAAATTTGAATAATAGTTTTTTTTGGAAAAAAAGCTATTATCATAAAGATAATAGTTTTTGATAATAGAAATTATTATCATATAATATATATATATATATATATATATATATATATATATATATATATATATATATATATATATATATATATATATATATATATATATATATATATATATATACATATATATATATTGAATATCAAATATTTAAAAAAAAAGTTTTTTTTATAGATCCCAAGATTACGAAATGGTGTATACATTATGATGAATGTCTTATTTTACTCTTTAACGAAAAGCCAACAAAAGTTTGAATCTTTATATCATGAGATCTCAGCTATAACCTATCAGAATGGAACACCCGTTCAAACATTAGTACATTATAATAAGCTGTATTCAAATTTTGTAGTGCAGAAACAAGGTTGTTATATTATTTAAACTATATTTTTATTTATATATAAGTTAAATTAAAAACTACCTAATATCATTAGTCAATGGAATCTGGTTACACTGTGTGCAGGAGGAAATTTAATTTAATTTTTTTTTATAAAATCCCATTTTAAAGTCTGAAATTAATAAAAATGTTACTAAATAATTAAATTCATTATTTAATTAAGTTAAATAGAGGATTAAAAACTAGTATAATAAAATATTGAAAGTTTTTTAATCATCTTTAAGCATCTGCTGAACTGGGATTAAGACAAAGAAAAAAATAATATATCGAATAAAGGTTTAAAAACCTTTCATGGTTTACTATTAAACCAATATTTTCTCAAGATTATGGTAAAAAATTTTTGGATAACAGCTGATGACCAAAAAGTAGTTTCTTTGAGTTTTTTTTTGAATTAAGGTGCTTCTGACTTCTCCTCTGCATCATATACCTAACAGAGAATGTGAATTATGCACAATGTAAGCATTTTTCTTATATAATATATTTTTCAAGGCATTTACCATGCGAGATATCCTCCAAGTTCTAAATATGCGGATCACACAAGCTTTCGCTAAATAATAAAGCAGCCTTTATTTAAAATTTTAATTTAAAAACAACGTAAATTTTTTTTTTCTTTTTTTTTTTTAAGTTGATTATGGTGCCCCATAAAGTCCGTACAGTCTTATCACAGAGCATCGCGCAAGAGCATTTAATAGGAAGTTCACGCCTCCTTCCCAACCGATGTCGCAAAGCTTGCCCAGAGGTGGGATTTGAACCACGGATCTTACCTTTCTGAGGCAAGTGCGCTACCACTGCGCCACGGCTGCTATTATAATATTCAAAATAGATGATGCTATTAAAATTGATTTTAATAGAGAATACGTGTGGTGAAATCTGCAAAGTAAAAAAATATATATACTTTTACTTTTTATATATTAAGTTATTAATATAATTTTTAAATTCTAATGCTGTTGAAATTACATAGCTAAAGGCAGAATTTAGAAATTTTAGCAAATGCAAGTAAAGTTTTGCAGCTTTCTATAATCGCAAGTTGCTATTAATGATATGCAATGTGCACCTTTCATATTCATAGTTGTTACATAAAGTTTTCATTTGTTTTTGTAAACCTGTGTATTTACCAGTTAACAACCATCATTAGTCAACACGCAATGTAGTAAATCTAATATATAGGCAGAATACGTTTAAAAGATACTTGGTCAGAGCTATTATTGGTTGATTTATATAATTCTTTATTACTTAAGATATCGCCAAATGGTGAACTTATGTCATCACTGATGTTTTGTTGTTCTTGTTGTTCCTGTATGTTAGTGCAATTGTATTGTGCATTTTATTGAGGCAGGCAGCCTAACTTTAACTACTAAAACTTTTAGCTCCGCTTCATTTCAGCTCATAAGAGTTTTAAAATAAGTTCATGTTATTGCTCTGTATTTGGTCTATTTTTTAAATCCATTTTATGCATAATGAATATATAATATGCATTGTTCTAATCGGTTAACATCAGTAATTTCCTCAAAAATAGTAATAATAGGCCTTATTTAATAAAATTCTTTTCTTAGATCACTTAAAAATATAACCTTGATAGTTCTACCAAACTAAAAACTAGGGCCCTGCGAATCAAAAGGGCCCTGTTTTGAATCGAATTTTGAATCAAAGCAGGCCTTGATTTGCAATTCCAAGTCTAAATTTTAGCATATTTTATTTAAAAATGCATATTTCAAGATAAAATAAAAATAAACAATTGTATAATCTTTTTATTGATGCTTCTTGCCCTGGTTAACCTTTTTAATGACTGATTAAAAAAGACTAAGGATAAGTAACGTTATTTTGATAGCGCCAAAGCGCAGAATATTTAAAATACCCACAACAAAAACTAAATAAGTAAGGATTCGAATTATCAAAAATTTTCAAATTGTATCTCAAATGATATTTTTGATTCGATTCGAAATTTCGAAGCTTTGCAGGGCCCTATTAAAAACATATGGTATATGTTCTCTGCATCTACCCCTATTCCATTAAATCATTAAAACATGGAGTTTGAAACCTGTTAAGAGTTTACTTATTTACTAAATATTATACTTGCTTATAAACTGTGTTTCTAAGTGTTTCTTTTGATTGTCTGAACTCACTTTGCTTCACTTAAAAAATCTTGCTGTTTTTCCTAACAGAATTCAATGAGTGTTGTGATTTTAATGTGCGTCAATAATTTGTCAATAATTAGCAAAGCTAATTATTGACAAAAGTCACACGTTACATATTTTTATTATAACAACGTGTTCCATAACAACCATTAATTGTTGACAAGAGCCACAAGTTATGTTTTTAAATGCTAACTATAGTGAACAATTATTTTGTAAAAACTTTGAGATTGTTGGTAAGTAATAAAAACATAAAAACAAAATAGTTTTAAAATACGTTATACAACACGCTAACTGGGCGTGTTCATTATCTCTGCAATATGAAGATGGACAGCCAAAGTAATTTATTCGGCAGTTGATTTATTTTTTCGTGATGATTAATCGTACTTTAGATCAACACGTAGCGTATTTGCTTGCTACGCTGCCGTCGAGGGTTTACAAGACCATGGAGGAATTATTAGCAACTGAACTGACAGGTGACAAAACTGGAAACGTCGGAAATTAGCAAATCATTGTTAACCTCACTGTATGAATTTGTGACAACTTATCATGGCAATGCAGAATTGATAAAGACGTTTGCGCATCGAGTGATCCAAGCAGCTCAAGAATGCAAAATCTTGTCTTCAGAGAGAGGCGGTCAACTTTGTGATCAATTTATTATTGGGATTAATGATGGTGCTGTTCTGCGTGCTATTTTTCGGGAAGAAGATGCGTTGAGCTTTGATGATTTTGTCAAGACTGAATCCGTGGTTGCACAAACTAGATTAAATGCGGCATATTTATGACTGTAATGACAAGTATATACGAAGAAATAAAGTAATACGATGTTTCAACTGCGAATCATTAAATCACTATGCACGTGAATGTACCTATTTATGTAAGAAATGCTCGCATAAACATGCTGCGAAACACTGCTACAGATGTCTGCAAAACCAGGAAACTTAAATGGGACGAACTTGCATAGGTATTTCTACAAGAACTCGTCCAGAAACAATACTATCTACTTTAGGCTTGATAATAAACGCAAGAAAAGCTACAGCGCTTGTGGATAAAGGTTGCTCGCAATCAATCATCATCAAGAACTTACTGCCATCTTATTATAAAGTGATTCGTGTAGTGGATGTTGCAACAATGGGCGGAATAATTCGATGTGAAGAAGTTGTTGCCAAAATTGATTCTAATGCGATTCCGTAGGATAAAGGAAATCTTGCTGTGATCAAAGTGTGGGAAAGAGTAGACTGCAATATTAATCACGTTGATGCGTCGCTGTATCTTACCTGTATTGACTGTGGCTCAAGCAGATACACGTTGTTGACACAATTAAATGAAGAAAGTGCACCAATGGTTGTTTAATTGTTAGAAACAATATGGTCATTACTTGGACCTCCTTCCGAAATTCTTCTAGATTATTCTAAGTTATTTAGCTCTCAGACTACGCAAGCTATGGCGTCGAAATGGAAAGCAAGAATTATTTAGCGAGCTGTTGAAAAAACACCGGAAAATGGAATTGTTGAAAGAGTTCATTTGAAGTTAAAAAGAACAAGCGAGAGCAAAATGTGGAACACGAATGTCTATCTTTTTAATCAAAAACGTACCATCAAAACACGGCACACCTTTTGAAATTTTTTTAGCCAACTATACAAACACCTGGAATCGACAAACAAATTCCTGGAGTCGACAAAGCCAAATCAACACAAAAGTCCCTCAATAATTGTCAAGGATGAAAAGTTGGCGATAAATTGTGGATGAAGCCTAAGCATTCGACGCCGCGTACACAGCAGTGGTTAAAAGGAAGAAGAGTGGCGTTGCATAATGTTTTAAAAACTGAAGTTTAAGTCAACGAACATACGTTGTCACTACATTTTTCACATCTGCAGCATCGTCGTCTAGAAAAAAACAAAGAAGATATAACAAAAGAAGATATAACAATAAATTCCTTTGATAACGACAAAGATGACAGTAGAATGCACCGCGCTAATCAAAACTATCCAACAAATTGTGAGACAGAGTTAAAGCCTATTCGGTTGACTCGCTATGGGAAAAGAGTACTTCCTAACCGAAAGTATCATGAATATGTATGAGCTCTTGTTGGGCTCGGGGAGATTTTGTGATTTTAATATGCGTCAATACATTGTTACTAAATAACAAAGCTAATTATTGACAAAAGTCACACGTTGCATATTTTTATTATAATAAGGTTTTGTATAACGATCATTAATTGCTGATAAGCACGGCTGTTTCAAACCGAGCTTAACGGCTTCTTGTTAATTTTTGAAAATATTGACTAAAGGGGTGTTACTAAAACTTTTATAACTTTTGAAATATAAGAGGTAATTTTGTTTTGTAAAAACAATTAAGACATCAATAAAATGTTTTACCTTATGACATTTAAGGCATTAGTAGAAAAACTTCTTTTAGTTTAGAATAAATATGACATATATTGAATTTGGCTAAATTTTTGTAATTTGATGTTACTTTTTATCAAAAAAAAATTAGAAAATATATTCCTAATAGTTATTATCAAATACACTTATTGTTTGACAATAATGAAAACAAAAAAACCTTACTTAATTATTTAAGGTTAACTAAAACAGCCTTAATCGAATTGTGAAAGCAAACCACATTTTTCGCAAAATTATGAAAATGTCCTTATACGGGGGGATTAGTTGTTAAATGAGTACTTTTTTTAATATAGAAGTTCTTGATTTAGAAAATTATTTTGGAACGCTGATAAAATCATTACATTACAAAATAAAGTTCTAATAATATGGTGTTAGGTAGTTAATAAATAAAAACTCATCAATTCTAATAAAATAATTCATGACCAAAATTGAG